AAAAAAAATTTAACTTGAATCAAGACGAAAATTCTTGAACCAAGAAAATAATTTTGAAGAGTTTCATTGTTTTGAATCAAGATGAAAAATTCTTGAATCAAGTAAAATTTACTTAAACCAAGAAAAATTTCTTAGTTTAAGAATTTTTCTATTCAAATCAAGAAGATGAAGTTCTTCAAAATTATTTACTTGATTCAAGTAATTTTTTTTTCTGTGACAAGTATACTTGTCACAATAATCTCCATACGATCATTTTGTCTTTCACGACAATTTCTTTATAAACAATGATGAAAATTCAATGAAGTGGTGGGTATTTTGAAACATTGTAAAGAGTATTTTTTTAACACGCATCTGATTGTTCATCGGTGAATACACAGTAAAAAATTTTTCATAATTTTGTAAAGTATAAAAATTTTTGTGTAGAATATTACACTCTAGTGTGTAGAATTTCACATTCTAGTGTGTTAAATCAACACATGAAAATGTATTCACGGTCGATAGTTTTAGATAAATGAATTATTATTGAATGTAGTGGAATATCCCTATACTTGCTCTTCGTATACTTGCATGCTCTCTATACAGTGAAAAAAAATTTAACTTGAATCAAGACGAAAATTCTTGAACCAAGAAAATAATTTTGAAGAGTTTCATTGTTTTGAATCAAGATGAAAAATTCTTGAATCAAGTAAAATTTACTTAAACCAAGAAAAATTTCTTAGTTTAAGAATTTTTCTATTCAAATCAAGAAGATGAAGTTCTTCAAAATTATTTACTTGATTCAAGTAATTTTTTTTTCTGTGACAAGTATACTTGTCACAATAATCTCCATACGATCATTTTGTCTTTCACGACAATTTCTTTATAAACAATGATGAAAATTCAATGAAGTGGTGGGTATTTTGAAACATTGTAAAGAGTATTTTTTTAACACGCATCTGATTGTTCATCGGTGAATACACAGTAAAAAATTTTTCATAATTTTGTAAAGTATAAAAATTTTTGTGTAGAATATTACACTCTAGTGTGTAGAATTTCACATTCTAGTGTGTTAAATCAACACATGAAAATGTAAAATTCTACACACTAGAGTGTAATATCCTACACAAAAATTTTTACACTTTACACAATGACGAAAAATTTTTTACAGTGTAAGGTTTTAAAATAGTGCATTGCACTTATCTAGACCTTTTATTAAAGTACTCAAATGAATTTTCCATATATTATATATATTTTACAAATATTATTTATATATAAATATATATTTATTCACTTATTTATTTCATACCGACGAAAAAAACTAATTTGGACATAAAACTAGTTTCAATTAAATAAAAATTTATTACAGTTTAAGAAGTCCGTACTTGGATATTTTTCAGATTAAAATCAAGATTCATTTTGAAATCACTCCGAACGCAGAGTGTTGAATTACTTCACTCCGGTACTCGGAGTGATGGGAGTGAATGCGAAGTACAATTCATTCCCTATTTTTTCCAGTGTATGTAACTTTGTATGATCGTTTCAAGAAATCGCGAAAATTAATATGTTTAGATCTGGCCTGATATGGGCAAATAAACTCACTTGATGATTTTTTGATATGACTCGATATAGCTTAATGTGACTTGATATGATTTGATACGGGCAAATTGCCATTTGTAGCTTAATGTTTTGATGAATTTTAATGAGAAAATTTTTTGAGCAGAGACCCGATATACAGTTATATATGGCCACATCTGATCTGATATGCTTAAAAATGATCTTTGATATGATTTTATGAAGTCTGCTAGAATTTTTTTTAATAATAAACGAAAGGAAATAGTTGTATGAATATCTAGTGTTCTTAAATACGTAGTCGTATATATATAGTCTTTTCTCAGGATTTTTAGACTGTAAATTATCTTACAAGTGCAGTATGAAAGTAATAATGGTTCTCACGTGGAGTAGCTTGAATATGATCAATTACATTAATAAACAAATTTTGGGGTTGATAAAGAATACGATTGAATGTAATAGCTATTATTTTACTCATTGAAAGTTTACGCATAGGAGATTGAGAAAATAATAATGATTTTGTAACCAAAATTCAAGTTCCTATCACGAAGAAAACCTCTGAGTGAATAATTGAGGTATAATTGAAGCGTTCGATAACGTTGATTGAGTAATCATAATGTTTTATATTTAATGCCTCTTTAGGCCATACTCAAATGACACTCTTCTTGGTTATAATGGTTATTATTCTAAAATACCACATCATTAGGTCACTGAAATGTCCAAACACAATTAGTTTTATAATCGATTTGTCGAGAAACTTTCCGTATGTCTTAGACCATTCGTTATCAGTAGATATCGATTCTACTAGATATAGAGCCCGATTCTAAAAGTTGTCAGTAGCACAGTGAAATGCGTACTTTTTGCGACTGCTAAATGACCTTTTATATTTCTCGTCATGGAAATAAAACATTTTGTGAAATTAGGATGTCATTGTTTTGATCCCGACTTTCAAAAATTAAATTCTCGATGAGAGATCTCAAGATATTGACGTCCTAGAAAGCTATTTTGACTATTTTTAGGGTGATGTTTGAGGATGTGTGTGAGTATGTGTATGTATGTATGTATATGATAGCCTGTAATAACTTTTGAACAAATCAACCGAGCGAAAATCAGACACTTAAAAAATCTTGGCAGAATTTAGATTTCCTAAAATCTTGAATCAAATCAGCCTGGTACATTTTGAGAAATTGAAAAAAAATTAAGTACTTAATAAAATTATATTTGAAGAACTCAAACCATACCGATTGATTTCAAATATATATCGAATATTGCTAAAAACGTCTATATCGGTTGATCCGTTTCGAAAATATCGTGAATGAAAAACTTCAGGAATAAGGTTTGAATTTCGGTTGGAATAAGCTTGAACCGTCAATTTTAAGTTGGAGTAATTGACTATAACTTTTTCCATCTGTGATTTATTTAACACAATTCTTTAATAATAAACAAAATTTTATTGTAATAAATAGAGAAGAAATAGGAAAAAAAAAAAAACGAAAAATGTTTTCAAATTAAAAAATTTGGGCTCATATCTAAACGAAGCTCTTATGTCACATCGTAAATCAACTATATTCATATGAATCATAATTTCATTATCTAAGCTAAATAAAAACAAAGATCTAATAAGTAAAAATTTCTTTTTTACCAGGAGTCGAATCAGGATTACTCGGTTACGTGTCTAGAACTCTTTCAATTAAACCATTCACAACATTATACAGAAAGATAATTCAATCGCTGATAGAAAAGCACTAAGATAGACCACTGTCTATCTTTCATTGTAGAAGCCATTCAATAAGCAATTTGAGAAATAATTTTAAAAAAAGAATAAAGAAAAAGGAAGAACCTTCACAGTGATAAATTTTTCGTCAAATTCGACACAAAAATTTGTGTTGATGACTTTTTTATATTATAAAACTAACACAGCTCTATGTTATGCGTCATATAGCTTTGTGTTGATGTAACATTAAAAGAGTGTTACTTAAGTATCAAATAACATTTTTGTGTGTTGAAAATCGGATCAACACTAAAGTGTTAAGTATTCGATACTAAAATTTTTACATTTTACACAATGACGAAAAATTCTTTCCTGTGTTTTCATATACATAGCCATAAAAAAAACGTCATCCCCATACTTTAATAAAATTGATTAGTTTTGAAGAAATAATTAATTTGTTTGGTTTTTTAAATAGATCCTATTTCAATGACATTATTAACAAGAATAATATTCTAATTTTTTGAGGAAGTTAACATTTCAATTTCATTGTACGTTCTAAGTTATCCAACAACAAGATGATACTGTATATAAATAATCAAAAACTTTTGGGCGATTGATATTGTGGTGATATGATCAATTGTAATTCATTAATTTTAGATTGGAAAATATTAATTTTTAATATAATTTGCTTAGCGACCATGAATATATAATAGATGGTAACTTAATTTTAAGCTATATCGATCACTGGAAAAATATCCCATTGAATTAATGTGAATGGAATGACAAACACATAAATAGTTGGATGAATCATCTTTTTGCAATTGGCCTACGAAATACGACCCATATTCAATTACTAATTCAGCTAGCTTAAAGCGTTATTAGTATTTGTTCATGATGCTAAATTTTTATATTTCAGACAGTTTTGACCCGGTCTACTTTCTTAGTCTTCTCAGTGTAGTTACATATACACCTATTCCAAGCTGCTAGTTGCCTTTAAAGCTATAGCGGTATCCAAGTATGGGTGGTATTTTTTAGCCCAAATATTTAAGAGACTATCGGTCTCAACTATGTATGCATTTTTCATTTCTACCCACATAACTTAGATAGCATATTACTAGAGTGACCGACATGAAATGAAACTAAGTCATTATTAATTAATTTTCAATTTTGGAACTCGTTTTAAATGATTATGATATTCAAGAAAGACCTTAAGTACTTAACAATAAATAAATCAGACTTCATTGGACCTTTAACGTTTAAAAAACTATGAATAAACCGAATAATTTGTTATATCAACATCGGTCTTTCATCAAAATTGTTATTTTTTTTTCTTTTTCAATATAATAATATAAAAGATTTGGTTATAAATTATTGAATTCGATATTCTCCGAAGCATCTATCATTATAAAGAGGTATAAAGATACACAATCCATTGTAAATATTATAATAGAAAAAAATGTTAATACAAACGCGATTAATAAAATGTCCGTGTCAATTGGACATTACTTTATTATTACGGAATATTAATTTCACTACAATTAATATTATTGTTAATATAGTAAATATAACTAACAATATGTTTACCGAAACATTGGCTTCAATTGATGTATTGGTCAGACTGTGTAGTAATCGAACAAAGATGAAAAGATATTTGGCATTACTTTATAAGTTAGGTTTATTTGTATCAACTTATTTTTTATTATTCTCACCCTCACCTTTAGTTTCATGATGCTTATTGAATTCAAGATTTATTATTTTTTAAAATGAGATCATCATGACTAGCCTCAGTATCATGTTCGATTCGTCGTTGATGTTCACTTGAATTAATATTGCCTTCTTCAGTATTCGCACTACTTGTAGGCGTGCTTTGTTCGTGTCGAATCGTATTAATTGTTGTTGTAGTCGTTGTTGTTGTTATTGTTGTTGTTGTAGTTGAAGGTGTAGTTTCATTATATGTTGCTGTAGATAGTTTTGTTGCACTCATTATTGAATTGAATTTATTTTGTGAGTTCTTATTATTTGGTTCAGGTGAAGCTGACTCCTCACTGCTAGGTGAACCGGGAGACGATACTACCACCTGCACAAAATTATTAAAAAATTTGAGTATAAAATTTATACTCGAATAAAATTCTGTTGATAATGCTATAAAACAGTGTAATCGTCAAAAAAAAATTCTAGTAGTTACCTATATATATTATTGACATGAAACCCTTTTTATTTTTTATAGGTCATTTCAATCATTGTATATCCATTTTCTAAATCATAAATATATCTAGATTAGGGTGACGCAAAAAAACCGACTATTTTTTTTTATGAGTCTCGAGTCTCTCCAAAAGACAGCTTAAAAAAAAATTTTTAAGAGGTCTCTCCAAATTTTTTTAAATTTCAAATATCGTCAAAAATCGAATTTTTTTTTTTTTTAATTTTTTTTCTCGTTACAGTATAATTTTATAGACCAAAAAAAAAAGGTTTTCCTGAAAATTTAAAAAAAAATTATGAGTGACCTTTCAAAATTTTAATTTTGAATTGAAACTTTCAGGAGCTTATTTTTTTTTGGTCTGTAAAATTATGACGTAACGAGAAAAAAAAATTAAAAAAAAAAAAAATTCGATTTTTGAAGATTTTTGAAATTTAAAAAAATTTGGAGCGACCTCTTAAAAATTTTTCTTTGAGCTGTTCTTTGGAGAGGGCTCTTAAAACATCAAAAACTGACATTTTTCACTCGATTCAAAAAAAAAAAAATAGTCGGTTTTTTTGCGCCACCCTAATCTAGATATACTGATATCAGATAGGTGTACAGATAAATGCAAAAAAATCTAAGAAACAGTTAATCTTCCCGCTATATTCACGCAGAAAAAATTCCTACTGAGTAAGGTCCCCCCTTTCCCTTTACCCTTTATTCCCCCAATTCCCAAATTTGTCTTTAATGACAAATTTAGCTATGAATTATGGCTGAATAGCAAAAAGCTGGAAAATGTTCCCATGATGAATAGTTATTTTTGATTCATATGCGCAAAGCTAGGAATTCTGACGACTTGAAGTGACGTCACGAGTTTGAGGCTATGGGCGCATTCTTATCGAGACCGAGTTATTTATCCGGACGAGCGTAGCGAGTTGGTTCAACGGCTTCACTCATCCCATCAACGTCTTTTAACCCTCGAATCCCGGCGACAGTACTTGGACTAATAAAGAAGTATTTCACCTGTAAGACGATTAGACATAGATTCCAGAAGTGCCCAGAAGAACTGAAGTCCAATTTCTGTTTAAGCTGTGACACTGAGGAACATCCTATCCTAGAATGTTGGACTTGTGTGGATTAAGGTAGTTGTCATGGTTAAGGCATAGCGTCAGTAAATTTCTAAATTTTTGTATACTTCCCTGGTTAAAAATACTGATTGAAAAGAATTGAGAAGCGATCACTCCATGCAAACTGTATATCTATATATAGAAACAAAAGAATTGAAATTATTGAAAAGAATTCGAATTTCATCATTTTTAATTCTTTTCAATCAATATTTTTAAACAGGATTATTAAGGACGTGATGATACAATTACCCATAAAATTTGAAGTCGATTGACTACCTATAACCCGAGATGAATTCAATTAAATATTGGATACTTAGCATTGATTGCATACGCTCTCTGCAATTCTGTACCAGTTTCTTAGTTATAAAAAAAAAAACTAACTGCCAGAAACTTTTAAAAAACTGACAGTCTTTTAATGTATTTGTTGTGAGTTTAAAAAAAAAATTTTGACCGTCTTGCGTAAAAATTATGGATTACTTAGCTTACAAGTTCATATACTTTTGCGGCGCGTATAATCTCTAATTTTTTGACAATATTGTACCACGACGACTACCTTAAACATCTCCACACAACATATAATATCATCCTCAAATAAAAGACTTAATCGTAAATTCAAATCAGGGCTGCTCTACAATAACAAAAACTAGTATGATGCCTTACCAGCTGCACTGCTTGGCATGCAAGCTACATGGATGGACGATGTCTCACCAACTCCTGTTGAAATGACTCATGGTTAGCCAATCAAGTTACCTGGTGAATCACTCATTCGCACTAAGAGGATTGCACGTGGTTATATGGTTAACTTATTAAAAAATTAATTCCAGCCAATCCGGAATCTTAACTAACACAATAGATTCACGAACCAAAAAGACAAGAGTTTTTTTCGAAAAAGTTCACTCAATTCTAATCTACGGAGCGAAAGTATGGACAAATATTTTGAAGCATAAAAAAGTAGCAGAATAACTTCGAGGGAGCCCTCAGGGTGACCTATGCCTACCGCATGGTCTTCGAAGCATTCATAAAAAAGAATATTTTAGGTTCTGCTTTACAATCTCATCAACTTCTATGTTAATTTTAATCGCGATCCACCCAGCTGTCAGAAGTGAGATTAATATTTCATCTACGTGATATACCTGTCGCTGCTTGATTTGTAGAGGTGGACGAGTGGATAGGCCGTATCCCATAGGATTTGAATTGGTTGGCGGATGATGAAGTGAGAGTGGCGGCTGCCAAGGCAGCATGGTTCGAGTTAATGCACCCGGATATACTGGATTTTGTTGATGCTGAGACAATTGGTGAAGTTGCGGCAGTGATGGATGATGATTGCTGATAATATTGCTGCTGCTGGTACTGCTGGTAAGTCCGATTATTGGCGTAACTCGAGGAAGTGTTGAACCGACTGAAGAAGTCTTCCGAACTGTCTGTGAAAAAATCCGCTGATTACTCAGCTCATATCAAAATTAAAGGAATAAATTCATTGAGAACATTACCTGACTTCACTGGCCATATTTCGAGGAGGTATTTTAAAACTGCAATTGGTTGTTGAAAATCTAAATGCGTCGCATCATCGGAATGTAACATTAATACTGGTCCAAAACAAACTGCTAAACTAGCTGGTGACATTTTGTTACATTGAGACAAAACCAACGCTAAATGATCTAGGAGATATATCAAGGTACACTAAAAGAGAGGAAAAAAATTTATGATTAACAACTAATATCAAATAAATCAGAAGAGATTAATTACTATAGATAGTGATATTTTTACCTTATTGACTTTTGGTAAGCAGTCAAGTATACTAAACATTAGCTTAGCATTACCTTGCGGATCATCAGGGAGACATACCGCTAATGCATCAACCATCATTTGATAGAGGCACTTGGTGAAAAGTGGTTCTGGTAATTCTCTTAAATAATCTTTGAGTACTCCCGTAATAACATTTATGTCGGGTACGTTGTCAGGAGAAAGATCTACTGATCGAGCATTACGCTCAAAAGCTTCCCTAAGTATTCGTTTTTTAGTAGCAGATCCACAAAGTCTATACAATCCAATTATATCGAGTCCACGTCTTTCAACTTCCTCTACACAACGCCATACAATTATTGGAATATTCATATTATTATTCACGGATAAAGCTGTAGAAACTCCACCCGGTACTCCGCCAGTCTTACTTTCTCTACTCACCTGAAATTACGAATTAAATCAACAATATCAGAACGTTTTTGTAATAAATTACAATTTTTCAGGGACAACTTCAATTCTAAAAACTCAATTTTGAGTTTATCGGATGTTTTATGGTTTAAAATAATAAAAAGTCATGATGATACTAACCACTGTATCTAAATCGACTCCGAAAAGAGGAGCAATTCTAGTAGCTAAGGATATCACCGGAAGTCCTCGTCGTTTGAATGTCTGATGAGCATCTGTATAACGTAATCTTAAATAAATAGTTCCTCTTGGCTCAACTTTAAGAGCTAATTGATGTATTGGAGACTCTTTGAGTAATGTCGCAAGATGAACTGATCCTTTATAACATAACTTATGCCTGTGTTGAGGATCCCAAGAGTAAACGAGTAGGTCAAGTTGACGATTCCCAACTAAATCCAACTCGAAAGTTTCATCCCAATCAAACATAAGATCACCAGTTCGTACAACCGTACGAGCCTTGTGGACTCGATCACATTCTAAAACGCAGTAGAGATCTCTTAAGCCACAAGAAGTAATATTTGGTTGACCTGATGGTGTAGATGGCGTTGTAGCAGCTGATGAAGAAGTCGTTGATCGCAGACCACGCCCCGCTAAAAGATGGACCCAAAGAAGTCCACTGACTCCACTAGCAAAATCACTACTTGATGACTCTCCAAGAGAACTCAATAATGAACTTGTTGAATTAGGCGTGCCAACTGTTGGTGGTTTTTCAATTTTATACTTTAAAAATTCTGAAAGATAAAAAAACTGTCGTTAACTATCGATTTTTGACATACATATCATTGTAGTCAAAAAATATAACTCTAGAAAAAACAATAGACAATTTTGATTAGTTTTTTGATTAAAAAATAAAACTGAAATCTGTTTGACATAATGCTGAATACTAATAGCTAAGACTATATAAATCTATATGACCCAATTATAAACCACTAATCACTAAGGAATAAGAATTAGAAGATTGTAACAATAAGAAAATTTTTTTCTAAAAAGGAAATAATTTTTTTATTCAAAATTAGTTTGTATTAAATAACATTAAAATTAATTTGAAAAACTTACCGGAAGGATTAATATCTAACAGCCTTTGATCTTGTGTTCTTGTCGGCGTTGGTGTAGGTATATTTCTGGTTTGTTCCAGCTCTAACAAATTTCTGATTCTTCTTACTGAATTAGCTCTCTGATTAGCAACTGAATTCAAGGAAGGTTTTTGACTGGTTAGAACAGATCTAGCATTTGGAGTGACGGAAGTAGATCTTTGTCCTGGTCCAGCTCGATGTGATGTTGAACTTACAGCTGTCGATGCTCGTAAATTGGCTAAATTAACTTGTTGAGCAGATGCAGATCTTGTAGAAAGCCGATCAAGCGTACCTGGTAAAGGCCTATACGAGCCGTAGTTCCCTAAATCTGTTTTCTATTTGATTTTAAAAGTTAAGTTTGATTAGGCAAAGTTATACTCTATGAATAAACATATTATTAGAATAACTTCTAAGTACAAGTGTTCTATATGACTTAAAATATACATCAATAAATTTCACAGAAAATCTATGAAGATATCCATATTACCATGTATACTCTACACCCAAAAAAATGTTCATTCGGATAACCACATTTCACGATTGGACTGTAGCGGTTGAACTTCCCTGGCGGATCTGATGTACCGTGGAATTACGGTATTATACGGTAAAAATACGATCGATATACCGTATGGCAATCGTAGATTACAGTAGCATTCTACTTGCACAATAGAAACCGTAAAATACCGCAACGTGCAGTAAATAACGATGAAAATACGGTAGAATATATACTTCTAAACTTTCCGCACTACCGTATTCCAATGGTAAGGGGCCATTCATTAATTACGTAAGGGTATTGAGGGGGAGGGGGGTTAAGAAAATCTCTACAAGTTCTTACGTTGGGGGGTGGGAGGGGGGGGGGGTAAAATTCATTCTTACGTAATATTTCGTGAATCAAAATTCAAGATCAAAAATCTTTCCATTTCAGATTCCAAATTGTTTTCTTAATTTTAAAGTGTACAGTTGAATTTTTATTTTATTTAAATAATTTTTATTGCTTATTGAAAAAAATAAAAAATAACTTATTAAAATTTTATATGTTTTTATTGTTATCCATGTTTGATTCTATAGAAAAAATTATAGTACATTTTTCCGCGAATTATCATATTTTTATTATTTAAAAAATAAAAAAACATATTCATCTACCGTTACATCTGATGAGCTACCAATTGTCTCTGATTGGATGACATGGATTAAAAGTCCGTTTAGTCCGGATGAAGATTAATAATTTTAATTGATCTAGCTTTAACTATTTAATTTATGTTTTTGAGACTAATTTAAAACTAGTCAAATATTATTTTATGAAGAATATTATGAGTTTGTAGTTTTATTGATTTATGTTTGCTAGTATTATTTAAATTATTCCTTGTTAAAAAATAAAAATTATGGATCCACGTTGAACTGTAAGTTTTAGTGAAACTGATCCTTTTCTAACATAAAAGTTTATTATTTAGAAGATCAAGATAGAATCTTACGTAAGAAAGGGGAAGGGGGGGGGGGATTCGAGAAATCTTACGTATACTTACATGGGGGTAGGGGAGGTCAAAATTGACCAAAATTGTCCTTACGTAATTAATGAATGGCCCCTAACTTACCGTCAAATATATCTTATTTTAGCGATAAGTTACCGTACAATTACAGTACATTACCGTACAATTATGGTACTTTAGCGTACAAAACAGTACTTTTTTACCGGATGATTATATATAGTATTTTATTAACAATTACGGTATTTTACCGTACAATCACGGTATCTTACCATATAATAACGGTAAATCACTGTACGTACCGTACTTTACCGTATCCTACCGTAAATTTGCCGTAGATTACCGTACTCTACCGCACGGCTGCCCAATTTTAAAACACAGTAACTGCAAAATTTTTATACCTGATTTTTTTTAGTATTGCTGCATTTTTTATAACTTTTAAACCTTAATTTCAAGTATTTTTTCATAAAAATATTTATATTTGAGTATTTTATATTCATAAATCAAATTTGTCATTAATTTGGCGGGCAAACTTTTTTTTAATAAGAAAAATTAAAAAAAATTTTTAAATGTTAGTTACTGTGTTTTGAAATTGGGCAGCCGCGCACTTTGGATCCGTCAGGGTTTCCGCAGTTCAATAGTCATAGCATGGTATAACGTATATATATCCTGCGTAATTATATTTATGAAAGCTCATCTTATATAGATAGTCACTTAAGGAAAAACGTCCTAACTAGAATTTTGGAAGATTTTTTTTACGGTGTAATTTCATTACACAAACTCTTTTGAATCTAAGTGTGCTGGTAACGAAATTTTGAGAGAAATATCAGTTAAGACACTATTTTTGATGACTATACAAATATATTATTTGTACCTGATTGACTGCTGCGTGAATATTTTCAGCACTATAAGTATATCGCGGTGGTCTACTAGTTGTTGCTCTTATTTGTTCATATAACGCACTCGTACTTGGTGTCCGACTCAACCACGCTCGATATTCATCAGATGTGAATACACTGGGAGAAGAAGGTATTCTCCCTGGAAAATGAAATCAGTTTGATTATTGGAAATAATGATTCATCATTCTAAAGAATTTATCGTATAAATTAATGTACCTCTGTCTCTTCTAAATGACGGTAACTCCGGTGCTGAAAGCGCACCATCACTGTCTTCTTGATCTATAAGACCTGAAGCGACAGTCGTGAGTCCTGTTCGAAGACTTGGCTGTTGTGGCAAGGATCGACCACTTCGAGGTAGTGAGTTAGATCTCAAACCACCAGAACTTTGACCTATTTGAGTCCTTGACATTGTTGCTAAATGAGATACTGCGTTACTCTGAGACTGATCTTTCATATTTTGTCTGTAATAATAATACGTTGATCTTGGAGAGTTAGAACAAGTAGCCTCAGTATCGGAAGCATAATCTATAGAAGGTCGGTGTCGTCTTGTAAGAATCCCAAATTGATTCTGACTTCGTTGTGATGTCGATGAAGTATCAGCTTGAGTTCCGTACCTCGTATTATATCGTAATGTAGAAGAACCTAAATTAATATTCAATATACAATCATTATCTATCATCTTAAGAACTCCTCATTGTTAAGATGTCTCAAATAGAATAGGAATAAACCTGATTTCAAATTTGATCTCAATAGAGTATGTCGCGCTGGAGTCGAAATATTTGAATAATCTACTCGCGTAAGATGCTGATCTGAGCCGCTCCGAGGCATTATTCTCCCACTCGGTGTATGCTGGGAATATCCATAGCCTTGGGATTGCCCTGAAAGTCTAGTAGTGTTCGCTGTTGATTGAATACCACCACTCGCTGACATTCGGCGATTACCATTAGGCATCATAGGACTTGTGTAAAATGAATGTACCTGATTAAGATACAAAATGGTAAATCTATCACTTTATTTCAGATAAATATTTCTTTATTAAACGAAAAATAAATTGAAACAAATATTCCTTAAACCACGTAAATAATAAGAAACTACTATTGTGTTCTTTTACATAACATTTTTTGTAGTTATTTTCTTTATCACACAGAATAAATCGCGTTACTGATGCCACAAGGGCGTATCTCGAAAAAAATACCCTTGAAAAGCCATAAGGGCGTATAAAAAATTTTTTTCCGGAAATCAACGTAGCTATGCCTGAAACGGGCAGAAGTGCGGAAAAAAATTTTGGTACGCCCTTATGGCACCCAGGGTACTTACCGGGAACCATAAGGGCGTACCAAAAAATTTTTTTCGGGAATCGACGTAGTTATGCCTAAAACGGACAGTATAATGTAAAAAAAATTTTGGTACGCCCTTATGGCACCCAGGGTACTTACCGGGAACCATAAGGGCGTACCAAAAAATTTTTTTCGGGAATCGACGTAGTTATGCCTAAAACGGACAGTATAATGTAAAAAAAATTTTGGTACGCCCTTATGGCACCCAGGGTACTTACCGGGAACCATAAGGGCGTACCAAAAAATTTTAAATTTGAAAAAAAGTTTTTTTTCTTCATTTCTACGTGTTTCAAGTAAAAATACGTTGTTTCCCGAAAAAAAAATTTTTTGGTACGCCCTTATGGTTCCCGGTAAGTACCCTGGGTGCCATAAGGGCGTACCAAAATTTTTTTTACATTATACTGTCCGTTTTAGGCATAACTACGTCGATTCCCGAAAAAAATTTTTTGGTACGCCCTTATGCCATTTGTAACGCGAAATGTTCTCTAATGAATGAGAACTACATTTTGTCACAAGATTCCTGCTGTATCAACTAGAGGCTTAGCCTCGAGTAATATTACGTTGACAGATCACAGTGCGCGGTGATCTCAAGTACTCGTGTCTAGACCCTAGTGCTAAGTTTGTTGGGTGAGAGAAAGTAAGATCCAACGAGTGAAAACAATAGGGGGAAGAGGAGATATAAAGGGTAACCAGAAACGACTCGAGCATTGAGAGACTGCCACATTTACTTTAAAAAAAAAATAGTTGATTTTTTTGGCCCAGTCTAATATATATGATTCATGTAGAAATATTTATAACACATGTAAAATTATATATAATTGTTTTTGAGATATAGACATTTAACTTACTTTTTCAGCTAAACTTTCCAAAGTTTTTGGATATCCTCGTTCATACGGCTGAAAATGTTGAGTTGTAGAAGGTTTTGGTTGATGTGTTATGATTGGAGGTGGTGGAGGTTGATATGACCAATGTCCTTCAGGCCTTGAATTGTAATAGAGATCACCATTGCTAGTATTAATGTCTTGATTCGACTCTAAACCATTGAGACCAAGTCTTGATCGAGATGGAAGCATTTCTCTTCCATCGCCTCTGCGTCTGTTATTGTCTCTAATTATCATAAGTTCTTTCTTTAATAAAATGAACTATTGATTGATTTTCAGAATTGAATATTGAATTATGAATTTACCTAATATGGTTACTCGTTATGTGATCACTTTCATCCTCATTAAGTTCTCGTTTGATTACTACAACGGGTGGAGGTCTATGCTCATTTTGACGAGTTTGAGCAATCGTTTGATGAGGTCCATGTCGTGTTGCCAAAACTAATCTTCGTGGTATTGACATTATAATTACTACATCATCTAAGCTCATATGCGTCACATCTACAAGATTAACAGCTAAAATTTCATCTCCAACCTACAAAAGAAATTTTTTCAATGAATGTTTTATCTCTAGCTAAAAGATATGTTTGCGTGGTTCTATCAAATTTGGCTTTCTGCTTAAACAGTGATTTGAAAACCACACTGGCTGGTGACTACCTAAACGTAATTCAGTTCGAGTTTAGCTCCCTAACTGGGCAGCAGTTCGGAAACCAGATTTGCGGTAAAGAAACCAAATTTAATTTCTTATTCGCTTTCATTTTTTTCATTATAAGGCGAAAATTAATAATAACGGGTGCTAACTTTTTTCTCTATTTTAAATTTTAACATTAAACTTAGAACTAAATTCACGCATAAAAATTATTTGTTCGGACAACAAAAACAGGGATAACAAAAAAAATATGCAGTGATAACAATAGTATATTACATATCTAGGCCAGTAAAATAAGAAAAGTCTCAGACCACATATAATTGTTGGCCGAGGCGAAGCCGAGGTTGACAAACATGTGGTCTGAGGCTTTACTTTTTACTGGCCAAGGTGTGTATACTATTTTTCTGCTCGACGTAGCCGGAATGTGGCAACTTTGTTTAGCGCAGCGGCCAAAAAGTTGCCACTTTCCGGCCGGAGGGCAGAAAATGAATTTACTTACAATAACAAATTAACTAATTTATTTATCAAGATCAACTAAGTTGCAATAACAAATGAGTTTTTACTGCTCTGAAGTTAATTTTGTTGTCTTAACAAAATCGCTTTGTTATTATAATAAATTTTTTTGTTGCAATAACAAAATAGTTTTCTTATCAATAAAATTTGTTACTTGAACAAGCTATTCCGTTGCTTCAACAAACCTATTTTTTTAAAATAATTGAAAGATTCGGTTACAATAACAAAATAATTTTGTTGAGTAATCATATGAATTACTTATTATAACCTATGTGTTTGTTAACACAACATATTATTTGTTATCCCTATATCAACATAACAATTTGTTGTCACAACTTATTTTTTGTTGCTCCAACAAAAAATTTTTCTGTGTATTTGTTAAATATGACACGGAAAAAAATAGAGGTTGCCATATGATACGTTCATGTGGCTAACACAAAATTTTCATGTTACAGCAACAGAAAAATCCTGCGGCAGCAACATAAAAAATTAGGAAATTACTTTTTCGAGCTCTTCGAGGTGGTACATATTAACGACGGACTTTATTTCTTTACTGTTGTATTACTAATTACTAATAATATAAAATTGAGATGAAATATATGTGGCATCAAACTATTCATAACGTGATTGGTCGAATATATCATAAGCATGAAAATATATGCAAACTCTATAGTCAAGGCGCGCGCTTGCGCGCGTAAATTCAATTCTAGTTGTATTAAAAATGGTGTATAGTAATTTCAGTTCCTCGTGTCATGCGTCGTGACTAACGCGCATACGTTTACTATGGGATACTCGTAAATTTTGTAGCATCAAAGTTAACTTTTCCGGATTTTCTTAGAAAAATTGTTAACAGTTTCATTATAGTCTAGCGATACAATGAACCCATAGTAAAATTTTATCGGAGTTTTTTTTATAGTGTAGGTAATAAATATATTGTTTTTTTCGTTTGATGTTATTTTTTTTTTTTAAGGTCTTTTTGACTGTGAAAAAGGTATTTTGATTGGTAAATTTTATAGTTCAAAGGGAAAAAGGTAGGGGATTAGACAAATCAATCACACACAGCAAGCTTTGGATAAGAATTATTTTTCTATTCTTCAGTTACGAAAACGAAAACCAACTTATTTGATTGGTATTTCGTAAGTTATAATTACCTTCAAACAACCGCTGTTGTAAACTGCTGACTCCATTGCTATTCTAGAGATGAAAACACCATCATTTCGATCAATCCCATTTCCTTCACGTATATACAAGCCCAACGTTTGACCTGGCCTCTTTATTATCTCTACGAAGTGTATAAGATGTTTGGAGTCCTGAAAATATTAAATTGAACATGATTTCTAATTCATGCCATTATTGCCAAAAACCAGAAAAGTATACCTTAGAAAGTGTAACCTGCATTTATTCGCAGCTAAAAGTTTTAAAACCATCTCAAAGGAGGATTTTGAGGTACAAATTGAGATTACTTTCTATGTTAAATCAAATCTCCAAATTTTAAACCGACTCTCAAAAACCTCACTGAAGATTTTAAGGGCCAAATGTGAATTTATTTTTCGTTTACTGTGAGTCCATTTCAGACTCATGGCCTTACGATAGTGGCAACACTATCAGTTTATTATAGAATCACAGTAAAATTATGATGAAACAACTATAAATTTATTGTAAAACCATTATGAAGCCACAGTGTTACCATTATCAGATAACAATAGAATCACAGTGAAATCACTATGAATTAGCTGTCAGATCATTATAAACCTATGACAAATATACGGTAAGACCACCATAACAATATGATAAATCAACCGCAATGACAAAATGGCACAAAATGACTGTGAATTCACTATGAAATCACTCTAAACGCACAGTAAACTTAAGGTGAGAATGATTTCACTGTGATTTGACAGTAATTCCGAAACCGCAAAGGTAGGAAATTCGAAATATAAAAAAAGTCGAGTTTTTCCACCCGCACCCCCTTACAAGTATAGAATACTTTAGACGATTAAAATTACAGATTTAAAGTGTGTCACACTACTAGATAGTAAATATCTATTAAAATTGTATCGAACTAAAATGACGTATTTCAAACGAAACCACATATTTTATATTTAGTTTTATAGTATCGAGAAAACTATGTTAATATGTCAAGTCAAGCATTATGACTGTTATCAATAGTTTTTTTTTTTAAGGTCTTTTTGACTGTGAAAAAGGTATTTTGATTGGTAAATTTTATAGTTCAAAGGGAAAAAGGTAGGGGATTAGACAAATCAATCACACACAGCAAGCTTTGGATAAGAATTATTTTTCTATTCTTCAGTTACGAAAACGAAAACCAACTTATTTGATTGGTATTTCGTAAGTTATAATTACCTTCAAACAACCGCTGTTGTAAACTGCTGACTCCATTGCTATTCTAGAGATGAAAACACCATCATTTCGATCAATCCCATTTCCTTCACGTATATACAAGCCCAACGTTTGACCTGGCCTCTTTATTATCTCTACGAAGTGTATAAGATGTTTGGAGTCCTGAAAATATTAAATTGAACATGATTTCTAATTCATGCCATTATTGCCAAAAACCAGAAAAGTATACCTTAGAAAGTGTAACCTGCATTTATTCGCAGCTAAAAGTTTTAAAACCATCTCAAAGGAGGATTTTGAGGTACAAATTGAGATTACTTTCTATGTTAAATCAAATCTCCAAATTTTAAACCGACTCTCAAAAACCTCACTGAAGATTTTAAGGGCCAAATGTGAATTTATTTTTCGTTTACTGTGAGTCCATTTCAGACTCATGGCCTTACGATAGTGGCAACACTATCAGTTTATTATAGAATCACAGTAAAATTATGATGAAACAACTATAAATTTATTGTAAAACCATTATGAAGCCACAGTGTTACCATTATCAGATAACAATAGAATCACAGTGAAATCACTATGAATTAGCTGTCAGATCATTATAAACCTATGACAAATATACGGTAAGACCACCATAACAATATGATAAATCAACCGCAATGACAAAATGGCACAAAATGACTGTGAATTCACTATGAAATCACTCTAAACGCACAGTAAACTTAAGGTGAGAATGATTTCACTGTGATTTGACAGTAATTCCGAAACCGCAAAGGTAGGAAATTCGAAATATAAAAAAAGTCGAGTTTTTCCACCCGCACCCCCTTACAAGTATAGAATACTTTAGACGATTAAAATTACAGATTTAAAGTGTGTCACACTACTAGATAGTAAATATCTATTAAAATTGTATCGAACTAAAATGACGTATTTCAAACGAAACCACATATTTTATATTTAGTTTTATAGTATCGAGAAAACTATGTTAATATGTCAAGTCAAGCATTATGACTGTTATCAATAGTCCAGTAGAATTCAACTTGATAGTAGAGTAAAATAATTTTAGTGCAAATTTAAATTGTACATTTTAAAGAAAAAAGCATTTGTGAACATCTTTATAAATACTTACAAATTAAAAAAAATTAAATAACTTACCTGAAACGCTGTCAATTTCTTAGCCGCTTCAGCAGCTTGTCTGCCCATTTGTCGAGGTTCGATAGTTCGAACTACCATTTCTCCACGTCTTTCTACTACTTCGAGAGCAGCCGCAGTTGATGCATCATGATCATTTTCAACCGTTTCAATTTGTTTGAAAATTTCTGTGCTTATCCCACTAACCTGTAAAATTAAATGTCTTAAATTCAAGAAAACCCATTCATTTTAATAGAGTAAAGCCATGTAAAGTAAATAAAAATATCAGTTGTTTCACTCAATCACGAAAACCAAGATTATATTCGACCATTTTAGTCGAACTAAGTTATTGTTATAACTAAAAATAATGAAATAATATGTTTTTGTAAAATATCCATTGGTTTAGCAATTTTTTCTCATTAAAATTTTCAAAACAAGAAATAAATGTAAAAAATGCGTTTGCCGTGAATTCAGCATGTATTTAGAAGTCATGGTATTACGTTAATACTTTGACAAAAAATGATGTTTATTATCTGGCATCTTGATTATATATTTTGGCAAGTATATTTGTACAACTTAATAAATCATAATGGGAATCATTTTTGATAGGTGTGATTATTGGTTTTGATTACTATAGCCAGGACTTTAGCCACGCGCACAGCTCGAAATTTAAATTTTTTGAGTGAACTTAAATGTTATGACCAAATGAAGAACAAAGGGTCTCATTGAAGTAATTTTGTTCTAATGCCTTAAGTTTCGCATAAGTTCTATTCTACAAATAAATTTTATTTGAGTCCCATTAAATTATCTACCTTTCGGAAATCTCCCTGTATTACCATCGCAGGAGGATCCTTAGGTCGCAATTGAGTTGTGGGAGCCTGTCGACCAGGACTGGCACTGATGTCGTTTACTTCTCCTCTTCCTTCCTACAATTGAATAAAAAAAAGTTTGTCAAAAACATAGAACCATAAACAATTAATATTAAAAAACTCATTAGATCATAGAAAAGTTTTCGATTTGTTAAAATTGTTTGGAATATTGTTTATAACTTATAATTGAAGTTACAGACAGTAAAAAATTGATATGTTTCATATTTATTCTTGAAATAACCCATCTGTATATAAATAGTTATTCCCGATACATATGTGCAAAGGTAAATATTCCGATAAGCTTGAAGTGACAATTACAGGGCTAAGATTAAGATTATGGTTACACTTTCAACAAGATCGAGACGGCGTTATACGAGGAAGCGCAACGGATCCATATATTACATAGGTAATACAAGATTTTGATGAGAATAGATCCTCAATCTTAGATAAGTAACCTTGACGTAACGTATCTAACTATAGAAAATATTTTATAATATTAATCGTAAAAGTTGAATTTAACAGACGAAAAATTTTCAATTCTCTTAGATTTTTAAAGAAAAGTAAAAACACTATTGGTTTTTAGTTTTGCCAAAGCTAATGAAAATAGACAATTTGGAAATTTTTTTCTTCTTTAATTTTCAGTCTGAGTTTTAATGAAAATTTTATTTGATTATAATGTATTCTAAGGAGACCATATTTATTCTGATTTCATATGATTTTTATAGTAAGTACTTAGGCTGTACGATAATAAATGCCCACTTACTTTTCTCCGGCCACAACAAAGCATTATGGTCGGACTGATATTGCAACGCCGAGGTTGATGATAAACGTAATTGAGTCGAGCACACCTTTCTCCTTGCAACTGCACTTCGTGCACCTGCACCTGGTCTTCCTCTTGCTGCCCTTGACCAACACCAACTCGACCACCGTACTTGATGCGTACGTGTTTTCGCCACTGCATTAGTTCGGCTCGTCATGCCTACTTTCTGTAAACGTTAATAATCAGCAATTTTCTCACTTTGTTATTCTTAACTTATTTGTAATAACTTAGAAGATTTATTTTTATAAAAAGAATAGAAGAACTATGCATTTTAATTGTAAAAATATTATATTTACAGTAATCTAATTAAATTTTTCGTAATGTATAAAAAATTTTTTTTAATTTAAGCTCTCGTTGACCACGGTAATAGAGCAATAAAGGAGGATCATGATTGTTAACAGTCTGTGAATTTGGATGATTCAAATAATTTATCATTGGACTATTGCTACATCAAAATGTTAAAAAAATCATCCTCTAAAAAATAAGGAGAGACCAATTGCTAACTAGACCGTTGATATGGTATATATCATATTGAACCCAAAATAGTAGTCATGACTTGCATTATACGTCAAGCTAACAAAAAAGTGGTTTTAACCTTCGAGTTTACATAGGTAATTTCGCTATATGGCCTAAGAATAATTTTCTATATCACATAGCAAAATTCGCTATGATAACATAAAGGCAGAAAAAATTAAGCTTTTTTTCTCTGGATAATTACCGTCATTCTCAAGAAGAATCAAAGCGATCAAAAAAAATTTATAGTGATTAATGATTAATATTTCTCAAAACAATATTAGATTAATTAATATATTTCTCATATTAGTTGAATTCACAGCGGTAATACATCAAACAAAACTATAATTTGCACATTTTAACTATAAATAATATATTGATGAATTTAAAACTGTTTGGAGAAATTTTAATCATATTAAGCTGTGTTTATCTTTAATTTTCCTGGAAAAACTGGCAGTAAATGATATAAAACGTAACAGAGAATTTGAAACTTATTTTGTACGTTTTCGTAACCAGTTTTTAGTTTATTATTTTTTTAATTATTTATACATCACATATCTGTAAATATGTAACATTAAATAGTATTAACAAGATAACTAAACAAACATAAAATACATTTTTAATTCATTTTATTATAAACTTTTACTTAAAGGTTCATGCAACTTTTATAATTTATTACCTTCTAAGAATCATCTCTTATGGGTTGGGACCGTGAGCCCCTGCTTATCCATTCATCGATAAACTTTTTCATCTTAATTTACTTATTTGATCTGCCCTGAAATATAATGCCATTAATAATTGGAAAAAAGGTTATTTCAATTTTTCAAACTTGTAATTAATAGAATTTTTCATAAAGAGCAATAACCCGCGATATACTATGCTTATTCAGAATGAAACTTACAAGAGTATAGTGTGTAAAATCGATAACTGACGTAGATTAAGGTCAACCACCGACTTTTACAGAATCATATTTGTTATTTCCATAAGACGGTTCTACTAAAGATAAAAATAGTAATAACACACATAATCAAAAGTTACGAAAGAAATTATATTAATACAAAAACAATTAAAAATCGAATTTAGTGTCAGGAATAAAAAAAAAAAAATGGAAATAAGACAGAAAATGGGATCGCGCGCGCCTGACTGGAAAAGCTCCTATAATATCGTGGTGGCGTGCTAGCTAATATCCCGGACTAGCCGTGGATCAATATATCTTTTTTTCGAGAGAAAACACTACATGTTAAAAAACTAAAAAAAAAAAATTAATCAACAACAGAGACTATTTTAGCTTTTAATTTTTAATTGATATTAAAGTAATACTTACTTTTTAGGTCAATTTTAGAAATTATTGATCGTCTTCACAAAAAATTTATCGAAAGAGTATATTAATTAATTAAAAATTACCAGTAACATCTAAAGTCAATAGTAAAAATCCGAAAAGCCAGGTCTTAATCATAGACCTTCATAAAAATTATTGAAGTAAGGTGAAAGTAAGAAATTGAAATGAGTTTATATTTATTGACGGTTCGCGTTTATTGAAAGTAATGTAATTTACTTATCACAATATATATTATTCACCTAATGCTATCCAGGAACGCGTACTGTCCACTAAAATTATATTTTAAGATAGTGCAATGATAACGCACTGCATCCCTTAACTTTCAACTACAAGGGTAGACATATTTGATCTTTTGCAAGGCGCAGACTCGAAAAGTCGAGGCTCACCTAGCATTGAATATACATACATCAATGTGGTATTTACACTGTGAGTATATATGCGCGCGCCACTTACAACCCCTCACGTTCACGACTTCATGAACCTTGAGTCCTCGTAATCGTGAGCCGCCTCCTTACGTTTCAGCTTATGCAGTATCCAGAAGAATAGATGACAGAGACAATTGTCTAGGCGCAAATTTTCTATAATATTTTGATCGATTGAATTTTGTCCGTTTTATATTATTTTTCAGGTCATTAAGATAATGAGAGTATTCATTCTCTTGGAAAAGAATAAGATTAAGAAGAATTATGTTATGTAGAAAGATAATTCTATACCACATCGACCACTTTAAAACCCAGCCCCTTTTTTTATGAAATTTCATAGTATTTTATAAATTTTCATAAAATTTTATGCGGAAAATGGCCTAATAAAATTTTGTATAATTTCATTCATATAAATGAAAAAAAAATTTTTGTGCATTCACTTTGATCTGTTACATTCCCACGATTTTACAATCAGAATCAAACTCATTGGTTATCTGATCAGCAAAAGAACATGTTTGTAAAATTCTTACTGTAGACTGAGAGATTACAGGTAATGTTGAATTTTGAAAACCTTTTAATGAATTTTTTCCATTGTCAAGGAGACGATTGTTTGAAACAAATTTTTAGTAAATATTGTTTATAAACTTTAATATATCTGTCTTTAAATTTTAAGTCTCAAGAAATAATAGTTTGTATGAAAACTATTTTTTATCTGTACTACCCACCACTCTGATGCAACCTGCATATCAAGTGAATTTTCGCTAAATCCATTATTAGCGGATTTCTAATCTTTGAAAAATATTTGAAAATCAGTTAACCCTTCGTACATTAACGCTTCAGTTAAAAAAGTGTTCAATTCATCCTTTAATAGCAATATTGCTGATTCTGGTTCATTATAAGTTTTTGGAAGCGAATTTTTACATAAGGTAGACGTTTTATTCATCGCCGAATTCATTGGAAGCATTGGGCTATACCAATAACATCTTCGTACATCAACGCTTCCGTTATAAGAGTGTTATTTTCTCAATTAAAATTATTTATCAATGGCTTTTCTAAATAGCCTAAAAATTGGTCTAAACGCCGAAAATTTTTATTTGGGGGCCGATTTAAATGCGTCAAGGGTATAATTTTTCAACTTTCTTTCGTATTTTTAACTTTATGCTCTTGAATTATGATTCCGTTTAATTTCCACAATTTTCATTTATTGTACTTACGATGCCATCCATCGGTTTGTATTGAATCTACATTCCCATTACCCAATGACGATAACAGTTTCATTTGACATACACGGCAATGTTACGGCTGCTGATGGGACTCGACCCATACATTTGGCTTGTTTTTATGAACGTCATCGCAAAGTAATAGGAATTAATAGTACACTTACCTATGACGGAATAATTCGTACATTGGTACAAGCTAATGCAAATACTGATGCTGAGTTTGGATGAGAAATATTTTTTCGAAGCACTTTGAAGACAGTAATTGGTGTCCCGATTTTTGTGACAAAATGACACTACTCATTTTTACCGTTCTTTATGATAGACCATTATTTTTACCTCTCCTGAAAAAAGTAAACGAAAACATTATAAGTTTTCAAAATAAAACATTACTGATGTAGCGCTCTCGAGAGCGCACATGACGAAGTCTACATGAAGTATATTGAAAAACTGTTTAAGGACCCTACTAAATTAATAAATCATTGCGATAATGATGGTGTACCAGCAACTCATTATCTATTCCATCCCAAACAATATGGAAATTGTCGATATTTTGGACCTGAGACATTCCATATAATCAACCCTCGAACATCGAAATTTATTTATAATTTAATTCTTTATGGGGCTGACATTTATGCACTTATAAACAACGACCCAGCAACATTTTTACCCAATCTAACAGCTTACAAAAGTTGCTCAGGTCTACTAAAGGCCATTTTACCTTATTACACTGATATGTCCTTATCTAGGGTTTTATACTACGCCACGCTTCCCATCGATGAAAATTCTGATGACTTATATCGTCCCCATCCAACCGACTATGTTGAGCGAAGTCGTTATCTGGCAAAAATTAGAATAAGGCGTCAAGAGTCTATACAGGTCGCTATAGAAGATCTGGTCCTTAGGCGTTCACTCAGATTATTTGTACCGGATGAAGAAATGAAATTAATGGATAAATTAATCGCCACTGACGAAAATATCAGAAGGATTGTAAATGACTACAAAATAAATTTCATTGAGAAAGAATTGAAGAATGTATTTATCAAGCTCAGTGGTAAAGAATTGACAATTCATGATCTTTTAATGCAAATTTATGACAATAAAAAATTAATGATATTGGCGCGAGACAAGAGTTTCCAGAGAGTTTGGTCCGAAAGTACCTACTTGATCCGCCATTGGGATTTTAAACTCCTTTATATGTCAAGTAAATTAAGGATAAATAGATTTAACGTAAGGTTTAATTTACTTGAAAAATTAAAAAAAATTTCGTCACTCAGAGAAGCTATACCATTACCGTACGAATTAATATTAGATATTGTTGAGTATCTAAACAACGAAGAATTGGACATATTTATTAGTGCTTTTTATAATTCATACTTACTTACTTACTGATAAAAAGCAAACAATTAATTACTGCCGACCCCCTCTTTTTCTCGCGTCACACTCACCACAAGAAATAGTACGATCCTTGTTGTCTAGGAGAGAAAATATAACGCTGCAATCGTAGGGACCGGCTGTTAAGGAATAGTTTTTAAATCCATAGAAATGATTGTTCTTATCCGTGCTAGATAGAATATTTGTATTTGGACGAGACTTTCTGCAGTTTTTTTTTTTTTCTATATATGATGGCAGTTAAAGTAGAATATGTATCGGCCGCAGCCACGGTAATAGAGAGAAGAAGAAATATTAAGCTTGAAATGAGAATATTATCTAACACAGTATTTAATTTTATCTAAATCGATAATTTTTTAAAATAACTAATTTCTAGTACTGTTAAGATTATTCCTAAAGTATGACGTTAAATTTAATAAGCTTTATATTTAAATTAAGCATTGTATCTACTTTAATTTATGAAATTTTAACATATGTTATGTAACACAAATTCTTCGAATAATTTTAAGTTACAATGTACAAGTGTGAATAAAAATTTTATTTCAATAAATAAGTATAGTGTTTCATCCTTCGTTAAAGTATCTATAACTAAATCAGCATTTGAAGAAAATTTTATCTATTTTTTTTAATTTTTCAAGACAGCTGAACCTTTGAGAATATATGTATACATTAGAGTGATCGTTAAAAATTAAATTTTTTTCCGGCGCCCTAAAAAATCCTTCCTTTTGACGAAAAACTACGGGAAAAATTTTACTTTTTGATTTTAGACAAAAAGAACACGTGCCGACGGTCAATTGAAGTTCATTTTTCGATAAAATTATAGTTTTTTACAATATTTGTCACAGTATTTAAATTTGGACAAAAAATCATGAAAACAGGCTTGTAGGAAATTAAATTCTCTACAAAACGGTTCCTTTTGGTTTTAGATGAAGTTCATATCCACCGAGATAATCTTATCAGTAAACTTATGAACTCTAATAATTTTTTAAAAACATTTTTGCATTAAAAACATTATTTTTCCGGAAATATGAAAAATTTCATCCTGCTTATTCTATAAACTCACATTAAGAAGGTCTTTTCCAATTCCTTTTTCAATCATTTGCTCCTAATTATCCTATTACGTGAATGTGGAACGCTTCACGCAATAATAACCGTAACTCCTATTCTTTCCCGCTTCACAGCATTATTTAATTTTAAAAATCTGGACCGTAAGATGGACGGGGTAGCGTAATGTATATAGAATAAGTGAAAAGGAAATTTGGTATAAACCGGATAGCTTAAATGGGGCTACACGTTAATTGATCCCGGATAAATGATCCCGCGACAATATATCCCCCCGACATTGTATCCCCGATCTTGTCACTGACTTATCTACACGACAAATTTAAAAATACAAATTAATATTTGTTATTGCCGTAAGATGGACGGTGGCGTTCACTCAAGTCAGATTTAAATAAGTGACTGAATTGTAGTTACAGACAAGGTCTCGGATAGCTTAACTGGTAGAGCCTTTGGCGCGTAACCGAACGATCCGGGTTCGATTCCCGGTCCGGGCTGTCCGAATTATATTTTTTCGGTCAGCAGAAAGATTCTTACTGAGTGAAAAAACGTCCTCCCCTTTCCCCTTATCCTTTATTCATCCAATTCCCAAATTTGTCGCGGATATGTGACGCTGACACAGCATCATGGGATGTAATGTCCTGGGGATCAAATGTTCTGGGATCAAATGACTGGGATCAATTAACGTGCTGCCCTTAAATGGTAGAGTAACTGACATGTCTTCGTAAGGTTCTGGGTTCGAATCTGAGTCCGAGCGATCCGAATTTTTCCTCGCATATTCTATAAACTCACATTAAGAAGGTACTTTTCAATTCCTTTCTCAACCCCTTGCTCCCAATTATCCTGTTACGTGAACGTGGAACGCTTCGCGTAATAATTACCGTAACTTCTCTTCTTTCCCGCTTTACAGCATTATTTAGTTTTAATTTATATAGATTTAGACCAATTTAATAGTCTAGACCTTACGGAAAGGCGCTTCACTCTTCTAAGTGGAAATATGAACAAGATTGATCATAGATAACTTACCGATAGAGGTTTCATTTGAAAACTATTCAATTGAAAATCATTTACTCATGTCAAAATATGAAGAAAATATCTAAAATTCAGAATATTTTGAGAGAATTGTTCATATTTCTGGAAAAATAAAGTTTGTAGTGATAAAATGACTGACTTTTGTTTATTTTTCTAGCTCGGCATACGCACCTAATATAAGTCCATAGCATATTCTTGTAGATAATTCAACGCTGGCAATTAACCGACTGGCAAACAATGATAGGCCCTTTATTCTTCGGTAGCTCACATCCACTTTTGGCTATGTACCTGGAAGTAAACGTCGTGGCGTCAGGTTGATGATAGCTGTGTCTATTGGCAAACTATTTTCCCAGAGTTCTCCATTGTAGGGTTCACCGCTGTACCACTTAAACTCGCTCACGGACCTTCCTTTGGGCCAGTTCCTTGATTCGCTTGATGTGATAGACCTGGTTATTAGAAATCTCGAGAAAAGGTTCCAGAGGCGGAAGCGTTGTGATTCTCATGACAATGTTTTGAGCCTGGGCTAATTTTCGCAGTCGATCTTGCCCTACGTGTCCTACCTGGGAGTCACTGAGTCCGTGGCGAATCAAAACGCTGCATTCACCGCCTTTATTGCAAGCATCACCCGCTTGACGTCTGTTTTGCTTATCCAGAGGCGTAAATTAGCCATCCATTGGTTCACTTTGTGACTGTCGACTCGGTACTTTCGCCAGACATCCGGAGCACCGAAGTAACCACGAGGAGATGTTCCTTCTTCGTTTCCTTGACTCAAAGATTTTGTTTTGTCAACAGTTGGTGCTAATTGGTAAGCGCAGCGTCGTAGCAGCGGAGATATTTCTCTGGGGTTCCTCATTGCCGGATGGAACCAAAGTGAACTCAGTAAATTTGAAGGTTGGTCTACTGGAGTTGAGTGGGTCGTCTTCCGCTCGCGTTCTGTCACGTTTTTCAAATAATTTTTTAATTCTATCTCATCTTGAATTAATCCCTCGCCAGTTAAATTACCGTTCATCGACGTATTCAATAATACAATAATCTACTGATGCGAATTATTTCTTGACGTATTGTTCAAACTCTAGGATGATGTCGGAATACTTGAATACTTTCCAGCTCCACAATAAAATCGACTCGAGTAAGATTCTACAATAAAATTTAAGTAACTGATTAATTAAAATAAATTAAAAGAATTTATAGAAAAAGAATATAAACTCATACTGGTTTAAAATTGAATGCTGAGGTCCCCAGTGATTATCGGCTTAAATTTAGTGAGGTGGTCATGTTTGTGGGGTGGTCGCATCTAGCGCTACCTACAACCTGAAATAAAATAAAATAAAATACTTATTAATTTTCATAAATTAATTACTAGCAATCTACAGTCACTATGTGACTGCCGAAACTTGTGAACTATAAATTAATAAAATTTCGCTTTATTAAATAATGACTTTTCTTAAATTTCACTGTACTTATTTAATTATTGTCATTTTTAAAAATATAAGCTCATCCTGATGTTACACTCATCAAGAGCTTTCATTTGAGTACCCACATGTATTTTGATATATTTTTCATATATACGTACATATGTATAATATTTATAAATATATGAAAAATTGATGTGGGTACTCAAATGAAAGGTATCGATGGGTGCAACATCGGGATGAGCTTATATCTTTAAAAATGTCAATGGTTTACAAGATTCAAGGTCATTTCTTAATTATGTATCTAGAGATAGAGCATTTTCGAATGCAGCCTAAATACTTATTATCATAAATTGACTATTTCTGACACAAAATTTTGCTTATTCTCTTAATAATATAGATTAATCTTTAAAAAAAATTCTTATTTAAGAATTTCAAGCAATAACTTAAACTAAAATTCCCATATAAAAATTTTAAGTAATAAATTAAATTAAAAATCCCATCTAAAAATTTCCTCCAATAAAAGAAGCTAAAATTCCTCTTAATAAATTCCATAAATAAGTGTAAAATAGCTCTTCATACATTATTAAATTAAGAGCTCTGATAAAATCAATTACTTTGTTAATAAAAACTCCGCGGGCAGAAGCATCCATTGCACGCCATGGAGATCCTCTTGCAAATGCTTGTTTTGCAGCAGCCACTGCCTTGTCTACGTCGGCCTTGAAATTGATGAAATAATTAATACATTAAACCTTTTCATTAATATTAATTTTAATGATTAATAAGACGCACTTTATCTCCTTCAGATACTTGGGTAATTACGGCTCCATTCGATGGGTTTATTGTTGGAAATTTTTTTCCGCTCACGGAATCTACAAATTCGTTGTTGATGAACAGCTGAAATACAACAATTAATTAGTGATAAATTTATTTTAAGTAGAACACGGTTATTTTATCAACTAGTTTTGTTGAGTTTTAAGAACCGGTTTAGTTGTTAGTTAACAAGATGACATAATATGAACTTTTTAAAAATTTCTAAGACAGGTATTATAAAAAAACTGTCAAAAAATTTATTAAAAATTTTTTCAATACTTTTTTTTTGAAAATTGGTAAGTCATTTAATTTTATTATGATAAATTAAATGACACCGAAGTTAACTGACACTAATATTTTTTTTAAATTTTATAACAATAAATTTCTATGAAAAGAATATAATAAGAAAATTATAAATGCCTTTATTAAATTAGAACTAAAAAATATTTTTATTTATGAAAATAAAAGTAGCAGACAGCTGACAATTCTCAGAATTTTTACAATTAATTTAATAAAATTATTACAAAAAAACTAAGAGAAAAAATTCCACATGTAAAAAATTTGAATAACTATACGTGCAATTTTTAAAAAATATTTTATTATTGCTAATTCAATTAATAAAAAAAAAATAAAAACTTTTCGCTGTCGGCTAATTTTAGTTTCATTTTTTTTGGATTTTGTTTTTGAAATTTTTTACAAATAAAATTTTGATTGTAATCAATTTGTTATAAAAATTAAAAAAATTGACAGCTGACAGCTAACTTCAGTATTATTAAATAAATAATAATAATTAAATATTTATATTAATTATTAAAAATGTTTACCTGAGTGTACTTGATCACGGGTTTAGGATTTGCCATTTTGAGACTTGTTGATACTTAGACAAAAGTAAGTTTTTGTTTGTAGAAATAGTCAATAATCTAGATTAGAAGCAAGAGGAAGACTGACAGTCACCCGTTTGTAAATTGTAGAGCAAACAAGTATATAACAAGAGCGCAAATGTAACTGACTTGCGCATCAAGCGCGACCTTCGTGTTATATATAAACAACTATCTCTCCAGAGGGGGGATAAAAAAAGTACACACGGATAGTTGCAGATACAGCATACAATAGGTCTGTATTGTTTGCTAAATGTGTGGATGCAGTGTATCTCGTGTCAGACGACGATAGCGAATAATAAATTGCTAATGGAAAAAATTGAACGTTTGAGTTTGAGATATGATTGACAGTTATTCGTTATTTTATATTACACTTATTAGTGGGTATGATTGACATGCGATAAGTATGAAAAATAAAAATAAAACACTTTAACTTTGGAGCTGACAGTTGATAATGCTAGAGATATATACAAGAAAGTATTAATTAATTTTTATTATTATTATTGTTATTTTTATTAGGAGAATATGAGTGTAAAATATATATTATTTGTTTTAAGTGGTATTTTTTTCATTTTTAGGTTATCTGAAATAAAAAAGAAGAAATAAACATTCTCAGAAAATTTTATCAAAAAATTATAAAAATCTTATTTTTATTTTTATACATTTGAGATAAGTATTTTTTTTTATTTTTTTTGATACGATTATTATGTATATGATATAATAATAATTATTATTTTTAATTACTAATCATACTGTAAAATTGGTAAATCACTTATAAAAAAATAATTATATTAAAATTTGCACTTTTAATATTTTTTTAAACTTCTATTATTAGAATTTTTTAATTAAAATTTTTTTCAGAATAATTTAGTAATAAAAATAAAAAAAAAATGACAGATGTTTATTAATTTCAGGATGACATTAAAGTCAGCTGTCACTTGATAATTTTTTTTTAATAAACAAATTTGCTCCGAAAAATTATTTTTAAAAACTTGCATTTATAATTTTTTAAAATTTCTACATGTCAATTTTTTGTTCACATTTTTTTGACGTGATAACGTCTTGTAAATTGATGAACACCGACAGCGCTCACGAAAAAATGTCGCGTTCCGACAAACCGTTCCGCTTTTGTATTCCTCCTGAGCGTTCCGCCTGAGCCTGTGAGTGCAAGCCAGAGCGCGTAACAAGCGATAGAGAGGCACGATCAAACAAACGATAGAGAGGCCCAAGCATTGGCTTATGACATATATCTCTCTTTTCGCGTAATAACGTCAGAGCTAGCAGTTAGAATATTATTCTATAACTAATTGTTCGTGATTATATTTAAACAAATTATATCAATTATATCAGATTATGATTGTTGATAATATTAATAATTGTTAATAAAAAATACCAATTATAAATAAATAAATTAATAATAATTGTAAACGATAAATTAATAAAATAATTAATATTAATTATAAATAATAATAATAATCATATCAATTATCAAATTATTGTATCAATTTTTG